ACCTAGCTGTTGGTGATGTGAGGCAAAACAGTGCGTGCTATGGATGCACCGTATACACACAGTCCGCACCCGTACCCGGCCTTTTGCCGCCACAGCAGGAGCTCCTAGGAGCTGTCCATTCAGCCTACCGCGTCTTAGGTAGCGAAGCTTCGTCAGACCTGGAGCCTGCCCCATTACTGACCGCATCACGACCATCAACCTCCACGATCCCATCTCGAGACATCAAGCCTCCCCCCCCACGCCGAGACCAACTATCTACGCCCAACAGTTCGACTCAATCACTCTCCACAGACAACATGGCTTCAGGATACGACAGAGCGCTCTCTGGTAAGCTGCACCGACCCCTCGCAACACTGAGACACCAGCTAACTTCCAGATAGTCTTCAGGTTCGTCTTCACCCTCGCGGCCATTGCAGGCTCCTCTCATCTAACGCGCGATCGAATAGTCCCGACGGACACGTCTTTCAGGTCGAATATGCCGGCGAGGCCGTGAAGCGAGGTGCGACCGCCCGCCTTCCCGCTGCCCTGTTATGAAGCTTATCGATCACCATAGGAACCTGCGCCGTCGGCGTCAAGGGCCAGGACGTTGTCGTCCTCGGCTGCGAGAAGCGCTCCGCGATGAAGCTCCAAGACACCCGAATCACACCCTCCAAGCTCCAGCTCCTCGACACCCACGTCTGCCTCGCTTTTGTCGGCCTCAACGCCGACGCCCGCATTCTCGTCGACAAGGCGCGGTTAGAAGCCCAGTCTCACAAGCTGACCGTCGAGGACCCCGCTTCGATCGAGTACATGACCAAGTACGTTGCCGGCGTGCAGCAGCGCTACACGCAGAGCGGCGGTGTCCGCCCCTTCGGCATCAGCACCCTCATCGTCGGCTTCGACAACGGCAGCAAGGTCCCCAGGCTGTACCAGACCGAGCCCTCGGGCATCTACTCAGCATGGTATGTTGACATGGCTGCGACCGGTCCTCACATGAGGACCCCAATTCTGACAGACACGCAGGAAGGCGAATGCCATTGGCCGCTCCAGCAAGACGGTGCGTGAGTTCCTCGAGCGCAACTACAAGGACGACATGGACCGGGAGGCGACCATCAGGCTGGCCATCAAGTCCCTGCTTGAGGTCGTTCAGACGGGTGCGAAGAACATTGAGATTGCCCTCATGGCCCCCGGCAAGACGATCGAGATGCTGCCCGTGGAGGAGATTGAGAGCTATGTCAAGAACATTGAGGAGGAGAAGCAAGAGGAGGCGGCCAAGAAGAAGACGGGCCGCACGCCGGGTCAGGGCACCGCCGCCATTCTGACGCGGCCTGCGGAGGGAAGTGACGAGTAGACTATGAGAGGCACGCAATGGATGATATGATCCCAGTGCGGCTGAAGGGCGCGCCAGACGGGATCACGAATTAAATACCAGTGTATTACCACCTGTAGAAAGGCAACGTCGTGGGGTCAAAATCGTGGGTATTCGTATGTACGTGCAAGGATCAACGCGCCGCTGCCCTCTTCCTTCTTCTATCTCTCCGTCGGCCATCTAGTCTGCCAGCAGCACATCATCAGCCCAGCTTGTCCGTGTGTGGATCCGGATCGAAAATGGTCCGCATCCTGGTCTGCTGCACACGCTCGTCCCTCAGCATCCTGTGATCCTTGCGCGCGTCTTCGCCCTCGACGGAGATGGCGGCCTTGGGCGTCTTGGCCTCGATGACAAAGTGGTTGTCGCAGTGGGGGCAGTACTCGTCGGCATCTTCAAACTCGGCCGCGTCCTTGCGGAAGCACTTCCGGCACTTCTTGCAGGCGAAGGTCATCTCGGTGCTCTGGAGGAGGGGGTGTTTCTCCGTTTCGTGGTGGCATTCAGCGCAGTCGAACCATTTTTTGCCTAAGGGGCAGTCAGATCTTGCTACTGAAAGAGGTATGCGAGACGGAGGTGGGAGGGCGGAAGGCTCGTACAGCATGGCGACCGGATCGCTACTTGGGCGTTGAGGATGTGTTTGCTGGGAGATGGCTTAGAGCGAGATTCAACTCAGGCGGTTCAGGTGAACTTACCACATGATGAACGTGGGTGGAAATGCAACTTGCTCCTGTGAGCCGGTAGAGCGGTGGAAACCGGTCAGACTGCGGTCGATTTGTTCTCGGTGCTGTCAAATCAAGGTAGATTCAAATGGACGCCTCCTGAAGCTGCACCGGACCGCTAGACGCTGGGCTACCTGGTGGAAAGCGTTGATAATTTGGCGGGGATCCCAGTCTGGTTGCTGGCCCCACACTGTGCATCTGGCTGTGCTTATCAAGCCTTATCGCGCGCCGATGAATAAGCAGACTGCTACTGCCTGCCGTCATCTACTTGCCATCTCTGACATTCTGATGAAAGTCTATGAACTTCTGCCTCCTCCAACACGGGGCATGAACTGGTCTGCGCACCAGTATCTGCCATAACAACCCCCAGTTTTTACAAACCAAGTCCCCGCGCGATACAGGTTCTTTGGTCTTGCGACGTACATACCCAACCTCATCCACGGCGGGCAGCAGCCAACCATGCCTCCGAAACGCAAGGCTATCGGTGCCGTCACAGGCGGTGGCAAGGTTGGTAAAGGATCACGAGTCTCGACACCAGCTGGAGCCGCCACCCCGAGGAGCATTGGTAGCGACAATGAATCTTCCGCAGCGGAGGCGTTGAGCGAGGGAGAGGAGGACGTGAACATTGAGAAGAACGTGGGGCATTTCTCCGTAGAAGGATATGAGCGCCCCTCAAAGTCTGCGACCTCGCACATCTTTGGCAAGCGCGATTACTCCTACCTCAGTCTGAAGCCGGACTTTCAGAACAGACCGCTATGGATCGATGCGAGCAAAGCGAGGATCTTCCTCGAGAGCTTCAGCCCCCTTGCCCAGCAGTGCCAGGACTTCCTCATCACCATTGCCGAGCCCATCTCCCGACCTTCCTTCGTTCACGAGTACGCCCTTTCGCCTCACAGTCTATATGCTGCCGTCTCCGTTGGTCTATCGCCCGCCGATATCATCAATACCCTCGAGCGATTCCTCAAGACGCCGCTGCCTAAACAGATTCGAGAATTCATTGAAGGATGCACAGCCAGTTTCGGCAAGGTCAAGCTCGTCTTGAAGAATACCAAGTACTTCGTTGAAAGTGCAGACCCTGTCGTTTTGCAGAAGCTGTTGCAGGATCCCATCATCGGACCTCTTCGAACCCACACAGGCAGTGGCGCGATCACGACTACCGCTGCTCCAAAGCAGGCGCCCCTCGTCATCCCTGGCACTACCAATGCCGCCGGCGTGCGCCAGGCAGGACAAGCGAACAATGCACAAGGCGCCGACGCCGAGAAGGCCAAGGAGGACGAGGTGTATGCTGCGTTGAACGACGATGATGACGAGGAGGCCGAAGTCACGCATTCCTTTGAAATTCCGGATTCCGCTGTTGAGGACGTCCAGAAGAGGTGTCTCGATCTGCAATATCCTGTGCTTGAGGAGTATGACTTTAGGAAAGACGAATTCAATGCGAACCTGGAGATCGACCTGCGGCCTGGCGCGCAGATTCGTCCCTACCAGGAGAAGAGTCTGAGTAAGATGTTTGGTAACGGTCGCGCCAAGAGTGGAATCATCGTCTTGCCATGTGGCGCTGGCAAAACGCTCGTCGGTATCACGGCGGCGTGCACAGTGAAGAAGGGTGTCATCGTGCTCTGCACGAGCTCCATGTCGGTCGTCCAATGGCGAAACGAGTTCCTGAAATGGTCCAACATCAAGCCAGAAGACATTGCGGCCTTCACGTCAGACAACAAGGGACAGACCTTTACAGGCTCTACGGGTATCATCGTGACAACCTACTCCATGGTAACGCAGACCAGGGAGAGGTCGCATGAGGCGAAAAAGATGATGGACTTCCTCCAGCATCGCGAGTGGGGACTCATGCTGCTCGACGAGGTCCACGTCGTACCGGCCAATATTTTCCGAAAGGTGACATCGTCAATCAAGACGCACTCCAAACTCGGTCTCACGGCTACGCTTCTTCGTGAGGATGACAAGATCTCGGATCTCAACTTTCTGATCGGCCCCAAGTTGTACGAGGCGAACTGGATGGAGCTGTCACAACAAGGTCACATTGCCCGTGTGCAGTGTGCCGAGGTGTGGTGCTCCATGCCCACAGAATTCTACGACGAATACCTGAAGGCACCACCTCGAAAGCGATCGCTGCTCTACATCATGAATCCGGCCAAGTTCCAGGCGTGCCAGTATCTGATCAACTATCACGAATCGCGGGGCGACAAGATCATCGTCTTCTCCGACAACGTATATGCCCTCAAAGCCTATGCGATGAAGCTGAAAAAAGTCTTCATCTACGGCGAGACCGGCCAGGCAGAGCGACTGCAAGTGCTGGAGAACTTCCAACACAACCCGCAAGTCAACACGCTCTTCCTCTCTAAGATTGGAGACACGTCGCTTGACTTGCCCGAGGCCACATGCCTCATCCAGATCTCGTCCCACT